CACCCACACCCAAACCCACACCCACACCCACACCCACACCCACACCCATATCCACACCACGCCCACATCCAATGAATAGTTTATGGCAGACACAAGTGTTGAACCAGTCCATGCAGAATAAAATGAACACAGCAACACTTTTCACATTTTAACTAATGCGATAAGGTTGAACGGGAACTTGGATATGGTTTTGAGTGCCAGTTAAATTTTGTTCCTCCCTTCGTATCACTTTCCACGCATATACTATAATATTGCCACTGACACCCTCAAGCATCAGTAACTACTAGCTGAGCTACAATTCTGCTCCTGTACCCACACAATTGAAATGCGGAAAATAAATATCATTTACGAAAACAATCGAGTGTCGTCATGAAAAAGGCCAGAGCCGTCATTTGAACTCGAAACAGGCCTAGTAAAATATGTTGAAAGCCGAAATAAACGACAACTGCTTACCATTAATTGAAGAAAAAAAAGTGCACATGTGCAATAAAATAATTCAAACGAGTCGTAAGAAATAAACTGATCAGAAAGTGTTGCTTTTCTGCAGTAATTCTTCTTTCTGTAAGCGAAATTCTGCACGTTAGACACTTATTACACCATACGGCAAGGTAACTGCATGTAAGACAAACATGGCAAACTTATTATGAGTGATCTGACAATTTTTTTCATACTATTTCGTCGTAGGAGTTCTTTTGAAAAATAACCACTACGTCACTTGCTCGAAGTGAATCATTGAAAAGAAGTCTCTAAATTAACAAACCCCGTATAGTTTTCAATAGAATGACTCAATCGTATGTTTCGATTTCTGCATCACAGAAATAATTGACTCGAAACATTTCTATTCGATAAAAAAAACACAATACATGATTTTTTTGTCGTTGTAAGACGAATTTTCTATAATACTTTCGATAGGAGATTAAAACACCAAGCATGGAACAACAACCAGCAATTTATACTATTCAAGAAAGTGTACTAAACCATTCTCGTGGACACCACGACCGTTTGGGTGATCCGGAACCAGCAACGAAGCAGATACATGATGAAAACGAACTAAAGCAATACGAATACAATGTTGACAATCAGAGAAGTAACCAATACCGAATCACTCAACAACCTGCGAGTTCATATAATCCGGACTATTACAATTCAACAGCATTTAACCCAAATACAAGAACAAAACAGAAGAAGTCTAAAAGACGTTGCTGTAAAAGACGTTGCTGTAAAAGACGTTGCTGTAAAAGAACAACGCGGTCACAATATGACAACTATGACAGTAACAGTTGTATTTGCTGTTGTTGCTGTTATAATTCTTCAGACTACAATGTTTCTCATGATAATAATAATAGTGGCTGCTGTGATGGTTGCTGTGACTGTGACGACTGTTGCAGCTGTGATGGCTGTTGCGACTGTGACAATTGTTGCAACTGTGGCGACTGTGGTGGTTGTGACAACTGTTGTAGTTGTGATGATGGTTGTGACAATTGCGATCCAAGTATTCTTTGTATATGTTGCGGTCTTTGTTTCGCTGCTTGTGCCTCTAATGACTGATGTAATAAATTTTTATTAATAATTTTTGTGTATGTAATACTCGAGAAGCTGTTAGTGCAATCCTTTAGGAGCTAAAAATGCAAAAGCTTTTTTATTCCATTTATACCTCTCATTCAAATACCATCATTATGAATGAAAATCAGCTTCATTGCTTCAAATTGTTTCTAATTGATTGGAAAGTTAATATAGTTTAAGCATTTAATTTTGTTTTGCTTCATTTTTGTCAACATCTTTCATAATGTAAGCAAGGTTCTTCGTACAGATTACTATAAAATTCTTTTGGTCTTTAATGCTATATCATGTCTGCTAATAATCTTTTAACTGATTATGTGATCATTCTGGAGACCATGTGTTATCAGTCGGGAGGCTTCTAGAATTGGTCTGTCAGAGCCCAGGTTCATCAATCCGACACGAGAAGCCAATGGGAACCGCGGGTGGATGTGGGTGTGTTTCCAAAGCCAACTACAACCGGTTTCGTCCTTGTTGAAGGGACTCATCACGTAGCTGTATTTTTCAGACGTATCCGAGTGATTTGAAAATGAGAATAATAACTTATTCATCTTGCATTCGTATGGATCTTATTTGATTAGTTTAAAGTGAATTGTAAGGAAGATACGTCATCGGAATTGGAATCTCATTTTAATATCGAAATTATGTCAGTATCAGTTATGTTGTAAATGACTGATCGTTGCTTTGGAAGTATTTTTGGTTGCTTCTTTACAGAGGGTCCCCTGAGCTTGCTTGTTTCTCATTAGCAGGTGTATGATATTCAGATGCTGCTAACTTCGCTGTCTATAATCGTATGATGTGCTATTTTATTGGAAATGTGAATGATGCGATCATTTTATGATAATAGTTGTAGGTGTGCAGTCATGTGCACATTCGTAAGGATGCCATTTTTGAAGGAGCTAATTTGGCGTTGATATCGGTTGCCTTAGTTGTAGGTTTGTTTGTTTTTAAGATCTACTTTTATATTTCATATGTTCGTTTCAATTGAGAGATGTTTTATTTATTTATAAATAACAGCATAAAATTTCGAACGAGTTAAGTTAGTGGCTGGTTAGTTTTGCTTGAAGATTATTTGTTTGTTTACCAGTCTCATGTTGCGTTACGGTCTCTTGGTGGATTCTCGCACGTGGAATATGTTTGATCATCCTTACCATTAATTCTTGTTTTAAGTTGTGATTCAGATAATTTCCGATAATCAGAACAGGATTCATGATCTCTGTTCGATGGAAAGTGCGACTCCACAATTCATGAATATGTCGGCGATTGTTTCCGAATCGTTTTTCATGTCTTCGATAAATGATGAGAGGTTTTCTTGCTGTTGTTTCGTTGTTGTCTGTAGGTTGTAGAAGCTGATTTTGCAAGTTTTGTCATGAGTTTGATTGGTAGTTGAGGTCCTGGTTACTTTATCGTATGTTGTAGCTGTTGATGTTGTCAATAACTGATGACGTAAATAACCGAACTCATTAGAGCCATTGAGCATCGGCAAAATAAAATGCTTGGATAAATATTTGCTGAATAATGTAGTGAGTCGTCAATCGATATGTCTTGGCGGGTACCTATAAGTCACATGGAAGGAATGGGAAACATTGAATGAATACGCGAAACTTACCTATTATAGAGAAACATGAGTTTCATTTGTCGTATTTCTTCTTCAAATTGAGCCAAGGTTGTTGAATAACGAACTGTTCTTGTAATATCAGTGTCAACAGTGTTTCGAAAAACATGACTAGGACGATCTGATCCAAATGGTACGACATATCGCTCAGCTGCTTCTCTATGATATACTGAAGTTTTTAAAGTTCCGTTACTGTTCTGAATGAATACATCAAGAAATGGAACACTTCTACCAATTTATCGCACTAGTTTAATGCTTGGATGAAAGTTGTTAGCTTTATCTAATATTTGGTCGATAGATTCGAGCGTATCTTTGCAAATAAAGAAAATATCATTGACAAATCTAAAATGAGACATAATAATCAAAGTATATTCTTTTATGAACCATGTTAGATACCAGCCATAGATTTCATTGAATACTTACAGTCGGTGAACAACTTGTTTCTCCCATTTCCACATGAAAATATTAGCTAGTGTCAAGATAAATACTGAGCCCATTGCTATACAAATGACTTGTCGATAGAATTTCTTCTCATAAACAAAACGTTTTCGTTAATGACGATAAGTGCTAACTTTCGAATTATATCGATTGGAATATTTTGAACTTCTTGATAACCGTGTTGAAGGAGAAATTCAATTAGAGATATCAAGTGATTCTTCTTGTGGTAATAGCGTTTATAAATTTGTAATATCAAACGTGCATAAATAAGTTTTTGGTTTCAGATACCTGCTTGTTGTATATGCTTATAAACGATGAATTAAATCAACTCCATCAATAACTGTGGTTGAACGCGCATGTTTATCAAATATTGGTCGGATTCATTTATCCAAAAACTTTGAAATTCCTGTCTTTAGCATATTCATTGATGATACAATAGGCCTCAATAGTGTTCCTACCTAGTAAAATGCGTTGAAGAGAGATAATAATCAAAGATTAGAAATGAATTACCTTGTGAGGTTTAGGAAGGAAATATAAATAAGCTAATTGAATTTTTTTCTCGTTTCGGCATGATTCTATCTAGTTGCCACGGTAAAATAAATTCTTTGAACGAAGATCATTAAGTATACTCTAAGTAAAATCCGTTTTCTGGGAAACGAATAGGAGGTTTCCGGGTTTGTCACTATATGAAACCCTCAAAGCAATAAAGCAAGCTGACGATCCCGAAAACCTATTAAAAGTTTCCGATACTTCGGGAACCTTTCACACGTTTTCCACTGCTACACATCAGCAACCGATTCACATACTTATCCGACACTGCCAAATTCGTTTTTCGTTATGAATAGTATTTTAACTACAAACATCTAAGGGTTCTCAAATCCATTGCAGTCACGAAGTCTCCACGAATCTAAAAGCTCAAAGTCCTCAATTGAGTCTTATTCACAAAGTTTTCATCTCCGTCAATGCTATTGTCATCCAATCAAGATTTCCGATGCCTGTTCGAACTCAATAGTACCACACTCTCGCTATCTATAAAAGTCAGGGTGCTTGCTAAAATCAGAGTCCTCAAGTCCTAAACTCCCGAAGTCAGTGTTGAAATTAGTGACGTCTGAAATCATCCAATATTTAAATTTCAGAAAGTCATTAACTCTGTAAGTTCCCTTAAGCCAAACTTTTGCGTTCAGTCGAGATCTGCGAATATAGTATTCCGTCTGAATTCATTTCATAAACCTAAATGAAAAAAAAAGACTATTTGACTGAACAAGATAAACTCACCAGTTTGTCTTCTATTCGGAAATCTAAATGCAGAAAAAGAATATATTTATTGAAGAAAGTAAACTCATTGTATTGTAGTTCTTTTCATGATTCTTAATGAAAAAGAATATATTATGAAACAAAATGAAGATAAAAATCTCTACTTGACATATTTAGCAATATTTCTATTTCAAATAAAAATAAGATTAAAATTGGTAATTTATGTAACCTTTGAGCTCCCCTCTGAAATCATAAAGTAAATTCATTCCCAATGTATAAACACTAAAATATTGGAAACATATGTTTCAATCGACGACGCTAAATAAGAACTTATTTTTTAACCGTAAGGACTGAAGATGAAGGAATAAAAGGGTAAAACATGGTGATCATCTTATCATAGAATAACTTCGGTGGGCATTTTAAACAGCTTACTTTTTAAATCATTAACTATATTGGCATTCGAATTAAACTTATGTAGTCAAACTGAAACATCGTCTACATTCCACATTAGTGGATCAAAGTATTCATCTATACTAATAAAAATCAGAATCCTTAGTAATTTTCATGTACTGAGTGCGCACATCTTAGTTTGTATATCAATATCAGAGTGCTTGAAAAGCTACCTTTATTGCTTCTTGTCGCGAATCGAATTCAAAAAAGATTTGTGTTTTGGTACATTTGACAGACATGAGTCTTCATTGATAAATAAAAACAAATCAAGAGAAAATAAGTGATGGTCATAAATTATTGGAATTTCATGGATTAATTAGCAGGTGAAAGAATAGCATATTTGACTGGTTTATGAAAGCATGGAGATATTTTGGAGAAGTTGAATAAATTATACAGTTAAATAAGAATATACATGAAAAAGATGAAAACAAAATACGCCAATTTTTTTCATAAATAAATGTTAATTTACTCTTTCTAGGGGCTCAATGTGAATTATCTGAGTTAATAAAACTAAATACTTCAAACTATACGACAACTAGCAGCCCCTCATCTTCAGATCACAATTCATTTTACAACAGTTGAAGTAAACAATACTAGACCGCATATGCATGATAGAATATCTCTTTATTAGAGAGATATTTGTTTTTATTTTTATTCGAATTACAAAATAAGCATACGAAGAAAGAACAAGAACACAAAGAAAATAGAATAATACTCTGACTCATCACTGTTCATGTGGATACGTATCAAGCATGTTTTTTGCTTCTAAAATAATTCCTGTTTCCGTCTATTAGAAATAGATATTTCCTCATTATTTCAATGATACGATTATCTATAAAGCTTTGACGTAAATTAGTTAATAGAATCTTTAAGCATCAGAGCTTCTCGTACTTCACTGCAATGTTTTCAAAGATAGCAATGTTGGGACAATGAATAAAACTTAATTCAATAAAAAAAAGGAGAGAAACGAAATTTCTTGAATGGAATGGCGATTTAGTGAAGTGTACCAAGTTTCAAAGCAAAATTCGCCATTTAATATATTTACAGTTGTATACAAATACAACTAGGAATGTAAAAATAAGACAAGATTCTCTTGGAAAAGAAGAATGTTTTTGAATCTCAAGAATACTAAAAGTTTTAGAAAAAAATTTCGCATGCACTGAAGATGATTTGTGTTATAGCTGCCGAGTAACTCCTGAAAATGTAAATTATACAATGGCAACGTTAAAATGAGAAAGATGAAATTTTAATACTGGTTCGGTTTTCTACTATGTTTAATGGGTTTCTGAGATATATTCGGAAACCACACTAGTATTCTGGCATACGCTTTCAACGTTTTCCATCCCCAGAAACCCAAAAGATTCGTGAAAAAAATTACGAAAACCGATAGGTTGCTGACGACACGCTTTAAATTTCCGAGGATAATTTTTGGGTTTCGAAAATTGTTTGATGGTTTCTGAGAAAACTGCTAAACGTTTCCTATCGGAATTCTCGAGAACCGAGCCGTTTCGGGGGACTCGGAAACCTATAAGGCGATTTCAAAAGCTCAGCTTAGAGCCGAAAGGGTTTGCGAAGGGATTTTGGTTTCTGGGGAAACGCTTTTTATTTAGAGTGTATAATGCTTTGAGAAAAAACACTGGTTACGTTGATTAATAATCAGATAATATTCGAATAGTCAACGCCTACGTGAATGCCTCAAGATGAGTATTTGCTAGCCACCATTCTTCATCCACAACTCAAACATTTCGACTAAAACTCAACTGATAAAACTAGATCAATGCAATTACTTCAAAATGAAATTGAAAAACATGCAAATCGAAATAAATTGTAAAAAACAACAGAAACAAAAAAAAAAGAAACTCCTATCTTTATGTTTCGATGATCCTCGATCACCAACATCCACCGTCGATGAATTTGCTTCATGAATGTCTTCGACTTTAGTATTGGATGATGAAGAAAATGGTGATGTTTTAGGATTCTGGTCGCATCATGGAAAATCTTTTCCTATTATTTCTACCATCGTACGTGATATTTTTGCTATTCCTGCATCAAGCACAACCGTAGAAAGGTTGTTTTCTATTTCAAAAAAATACTATAACAGATAAACGAACAAGATTAGGCATGGAAAAAATCGATAAATTAATGTTTCTCAAAAAGCAAAATCTTAATAGTCTTAAAACTTTGCTTGACAAAAATCTGAATGGAATTAAACAAAATCAAGAGAAACGGGGAAATGATAAATCCGCAAATCACTCATCCGATGAAAGCATAAAAAAGTCAAAAATAGATGGAAATGACATTATTTTTACTCAAGAAAAAGAAAATATTTTTTAGTGTACATTTTTCTGAAATATTTCTATGTGAACTCTTTCAACTATATTTATAATGTTTATATATGTTACTAACATTGCTAGCGTATATTGTATTGGTGGTATTTGTTTGTTTTGAATTAGCACAAATAAAAAAAAGGATTTTGATATATTGAAGAAGAATTAACATAAAATATTTGATTCTCTGAAAAAATACAAATATAGCCGTTATATAGCTATATTAAAAATTCATCATGGCTGGTCGCGATCAGGTTTTGGCCACGGTCACGACTTTTTCCATATAATTGTTCACGACGGTCACGCCGATGTCTAGTATAGAGGCTGTTCTTCATTGGAGCGAAGACTCACACTTACATTCTCATGTGTGCTTCTATTGCAGATTCCACTTTATTTCAATCTACTTCTCCAAAGAAAAAATTTGATTCTCGAACAATTTTTCCGAGGGAACAGCATATATTCCTAGAATAATCACTTTCTTACTAGACTAAGGATTTCTTCAAAAGGGTGTAGCTCTATTTTTGACAAAAAAAATCAAGTAGATCAGTAGTGGAACGATTATTATTTTAATTATTGATTTCGAAAAAACACTCATAAGTACACAATCAGTATTTCAATGAATTAAAAGTAAATGTCGAGTAAATGTTTATTTTAGTTTTGTTGGTTTTGCATTTATATTCCAACTATGCGATCACATAATAGAAATCTTTTTCTTTGCATAAATTTGTTTTTTGAAGCATACTGTAAAGTCCCATATTTTGATTTGAACCAAGTGCAAATGTATAGCCAAAGGTTATATATGCTCTTAGAGCAACTACATGAGCAACATTAGTTTCATCGTAGCATTCGTTACCAGTGTTGCCAGCAAGTGTTGTGGTGGTAACTGTCATGGACTTGTCGCCTTCAACCGAATCTTTTACCGATGAAACTTGATATTGATAATCAGTTGCAGAATTCAAATCAGTATCAGTGTATGATGTGGTGCTGACGCTTGTCACTTTATTTCCATTACGATAAACATTGTATGTTGTTATACCTGGAACTGAATCCCATTTCAATGTGACTGAATTGCTTGTTGTATCTGTCACTATTAAACCACTTGGTGTTCCTACTGCAGGTGGCTCTCCTGTTGTTTTGCCAGTGGCTGAATTTGAAGCACTACTTTCACTACCCGATGATGAAACAGCTTTAACAGTGAATATATATGTTGAACCGGAATTTAAATTACTATCTGTAAATGTTGTTTCACTTATTGTTGCACCATTAACTTTACCACCATTTCTGTAAACATTATAACCATGTGCACTTGAAACTGGTTTCCATGAAAGAGAAACTGAGTTATCTGTAACAGCAGTAACTTGAAGCTCTTTTGGTATATCAATTGGATTGAAACCACCGGTAATACGATCAATCATCTTTTTCATAGCAGCCAATTGTTTACCACTTTTAACGCTGAAATCAGTTCCATACCATCCAATCCAGTCCCAACATCCATTGGAATTAGGAAGTGATGCTCCTCCTGATATCGACGTTGTGGCTACTGTTTGTGGATATAAAATTATCATATTATTGGTATCAGCCCAACGATTGTATCCTGTATTTTTAACAAATTTGTCACCAATTTTTTCGTAGGCTTGTACACAACCATGATAAGCAATATGTAATTTACACGTTGCTCCATCAGTACAACTCTTAGGTACATAAACCCATGCTGTGGTGCTCATTCCATTAACTTTTGCACTAGGTATAAATTCCCCTTGATCGAATTCAATAAATTTTCCACTTAATGCTCCATTGTTTCTTGGTTGTAAGGGTCCATAAATATGTTCGAGTATAGCTCGTGCTCCATCAAAGGCACAGTTACTTATATAGGGACTACTTGTAGTTCCGCAACCATTATTACCAGCACTATCAAAATCAGTTGGAAACGTATGGCCCGATTTTAAATCCTTTTTAAATACAATATTCGACTCTGGAATAAATTGACTGTCAGTCGAATAATATTTATATAATTGAGTCATGACAGAAACACCAACTGTACTATCAGAAGTTCCAGATATCATATATACTTTATCTTTTGCTAGATTTTTGGCGTCATCAATTTTGTTTCCACTCCAAGATTTGGTATTTGAAATGGATTCCGTAATTGGTGGAGAACTCGTGTATAGGGTTGTCACATTTAAATTTTAAAAAAATTATTAAATCGGGAAATAAATTTTCAAAAATTTAAATTTAAAATAAATAAAATTTTTTTTAAATGAAAAGTTAAATTTAAAATAAATTTAAGTTCAAGAAATTTAAATTTAATTAAGTTTTAAATTTTGTATCATTTAAATTTAATTAAGTTTTAAATTTTGTATCATTTAAATTTAATTAAATTTAAATTAAATTGTTTGAAATTCAAACTAGTTAAACTTTGAAAACTAGCAGATAAAAATAGTTTTTGACTTGATTGCTACTATTTAAAGTCAAATTTGAGTATGTTTCCTGTTTTCTAAAGTTAAAACTAGTCATTCTTCTATGAATTGTGCTATTAAATATATTTTATGAGTATCCTAGTATTTTGGAGAACAAAGATGACGGATCCTGCATAATCTGTAGAGAAATTTTGACTGTTATGAATAAATATTAACCTAACATACTAGGTTTTTCTCTCATTTAGTATTTACTACTGTTAAAGTCATGTATTTCTCTCGTAGCAATCATGTGTATCCATCCAAACAATTTATTAAATTTAAAATTTAAATTTAAAAAAATTTAATTTAAATTTAAATTTTTGTATCAGAAAAATTTTAATTCATTTTAAATTTAACTTGATAGAATTTAATTTAAAATTAAATTAACTTTTCATGAAGTTAAATTTAAATTAAATAAACTGTAAACTGACACCCCTACTCGCGTACATACAATTGGTGTAACTCATTTGTCCACCACAGTTATAAGGACCGCCTGCTACAATTCCAGCGCCTTTTATTGAAGCGGAAAAGGCGACTTGTACTAGTGTAGCAAAATATCCGCCAGATGATATACCGGGAACTGATGTTTCACTTGGATCCACATTATAGGATGCCAATTTCTAGGGAAATACTATTGTTATTGAAAATAGAGTAAATCATATCGTCTTCTTGAAAAAAATACATTTTCTAGATCGAAGAGTTAAAATCTAGAAGTTTATAGTGTGTAGACAAATTCTTACCTCAGCTGCAAAGCAGCAACCAATCAATAAGAAGATCAATGATATTGACATCATATTGTTTACTGTTATCAAACGTGCGTTTTCAAGTTCTCTGGCATTACTTTATTGTAAGAAGTAGCTAAAAGTTTTACAATTAACAAGAGAATCTGAAATATCTATTAATATAAGTTTATATAATTTTAATTTGATGTTCAGACAGTTTGTCGTATTGGGTTGTATGCCTCAAAGAGCAGTCACCCTATTCCACAATGTTGAACATTCCGGAATCACTTCGTCTGATTCCCGTAATCGATTGGAATTAGACGGAATCCCTAGGAATTCAGTGTAATTTCGGAATTGAGTCGGAAGGGATAAACGGAATTGCCGGAATAGGATGTATTCTAGCCTCAGCTAGGCTGTTTGTAATTATGAGTATGAATGTCTTTTTTGCGTTTCGCAAGTTTATTGCCGACGCCATTCAAATGATTAACTGCTACGTGTCAGCGCCTCTTTTATGCGCACATATGAGTTTGGGTCTGCAATCTCACATATGATACTGTGTCAAATGTCTAGTAAAGATATTCTCGAATTGTACTAACCGACTTTTCTTAAATTCTTCCAAGATACAATGTTATTTATATTTTTTCAGAAAATCAATTACTCTTTTTCGAATTAATTCTATACTATTCTTAGCATTAATGAGCTTTTGTATAATGCAGCATGTGATTTTAAACGAATATTACTCGATTATAGCGAAGAAAACAAGTGAATTTGTTCTATTATTGAAAAAAACATACTTGCAATGATCATTACGACTATTGTAATCGTTTAAAAAAGGGTTATTATATATCGCAAAAGAACAGTGTTTTATAACTAATAAGTACTTTTTCTGTAGATTATTGTGAAGTGTATAGATATTGTTTATTGCTTCATCATAAATAATTACCCGCTTGAATATATGAATTATACCAAATAATATAACAGGGGTTTATCACGTACAAAAGTTCGTTGCATATCTTTACAACACTGCATTCAAGATTTTTATTGCCAATTTACAATACTCAAAACTCCATTAAAGGTATGAGCTTGTGTAGATATGATTATCT